ATTAGAATAAAATATAAATCAATACAAATAGTTTAGCATTTAGATTAAAAAAAATCTCCTACTAGTAAAAAAGCCAGGAGGTTGTTGGGCGAGATGGATTAATAGCTTTAGCTTCATATTCCGAGTCATTTAACTTCTTCTTCACCCTAAAAATCAAATAAACCATTAACCACAAAAATGGCTTTATCCTATAAATTACGCTATTAACTAAAAAAATTGTTCACTTACATTATATCATTAGGATATTGTCTGAACGAGTCTAACAAGACTTGGATCACCAGTACAAAGGTAAGCAATGGAGGATTATCAAATACAAAGTCGTGCAAAAAAAAGTAAGCAATGAATGGAGCTTCACACTATCTCGTCAATGGAGACTCAAAACCTAAACCAAACAAAAACTTTTTGTACAATGAAAGAGATGGAGAGAAGGCAAGAGAAGCGAAAAATCATTTGGGCGGGAAAGTGGGTGGAGGGAGAAGATAAGGTTTTGTGATTTGTGGGCCACAATATTCACTGAAAAATAAAAAAATAATATATTGTAATTTGTGGGGTGTAAATATAATTTACATCTATAAGAATTAAGATCGGCCAAAGAAATTGGCGACCGATCGAGAGTTAATATCACACTTTTATCCTTTAAATAATCAAAAAATTCCTACTATAGTCTAAAAATATTCAATATTTTTTAAATAATCCCACTTTTTTGATAAAAGTCAAGGATAAAAGTGTTATTAACAACAAATAAATAAATACTACCTCACCAATCCTACAAACGAATAAAATCAAATAATTAAGACCGCTCACCCAATATAAAAATTGTAAATAAAGATTTCAACTCTTTAGGTAGGGGTATAACTTTTTTGGATTGGAGTTCTAATTTTTTGGGATGACTCGAATTAGCTAGATTACAACTTTTTTGGTGAAATTTCAACTATTTTGGATTGGGTTATAAGCTTTTGGGTGAGGTTTAACTTTTTAGGATTGAATTTTTATTTTTTTTTGTGGGTTCTAACTTTTTGGGGATAGAATTTCAACTTTTTGAGATGAGTTCTAACGTTTTGGGGATAGAGTTTCAACTTTTATACATATGTTTATACTTTTTGACTAAGGTTTCAATTTTTTTGAATTGAATTATAACTTTTTTGGGTGGGTTCTAACTGTTGGGGGGTGAGTTCCAACTCTTTGAGTAGGGATATAACTTTTTTAGATTGGGTTCCAATTTTTGGGGTGACTCAGATTAGCTAGATTTACAATTTTTTTGGTGAGATTTCAACTATTTTGAATTGGGTTATAAGCTTTTGGGGTGAGGTTTAACTTTTTAGGGTGGGTTCTAATTTTTTGGGGATAGAGTTTCATCTTTTATGCATTAGTTTATACTTTTTGGCTGAATTATCAACGTTTTTGAATTGAAGTATAACATTTTGGGGGTGGGTTCTAACTATTGGGGGAGAGGTTCCAACTTTTTTTTTTTATGAGATTTCAACTATTTTGGATTGGGTTATAAGCTTTTGGGATGAGGTTTAACTTTTTATGATTGAATTATATTTTTTTGGGGTGAGTTCTAACTTTTTGGAGATAGAGTTTCAACTTTTATGCATTAGTTTATACTTTTTAGCTGAGGTTTCAACTTTTTTGAATTGAGTTATTACTTTTGGGGGTGGGTTCTAACAGTTGGGGGAGGAGTTCCAACTCTTTGGGTAAGTGTATAACTTTTTTGGATTGGGTTCTAATTTTTGGGTGATTCAGATTAGTTAGATTACAACTTTTTTCGTGAGATTTCAACTATTTTGGATTGAATTATAAGCTTTTTGGGTGAGGTTTAACTTTTTAGGATTGAATTTTTTTTTTTGGGTGGGTTCTAATTTTTTGGAAATAGAGTTTCATCTTTTATTCATTAGTTTGTACTTTTGGGTTGAGGTATCAACTTTATTGAATTGAATTATAACTTTTTGGGTGAGTTCTAACGGTTGGGAGAGGAGTTTCAACTTTTTTGGTAAAATTTCATCTACTTTGGATTGGATTATAAGCTTTTGGGGTGAGGTTTAACTTTTTATAATTGAATTATATCTTTTTGGGGTGAGTTCTAATTTTTTGAGGATAAAGTTTAAACTTTTATGCATTAGTTTATACTTTTTGGCTGAAATTTCAACTCTTTTGAATTGAGTTATCACTTTTTTGGGGTGGGTTCTAATGGTTGGGGGAGAGGTTCCAACTCTTTGGGTAGGAGTATAACTTTTTTGGATTGAGTTTCAATTTTGGGGTGACTTGGATTAGTTAGATTACAACTATACTCGTGAAATCTCAACTATTTTGAATTAGGTTATTAGCTTTTAGAGTAAGGTTTAACTTTTTAGGATTGAATTATTTTTTATTTTTTTTTGGTGGGTTCTAACTTTTTGGATATATAGTTTTAACTTTTATGCATTAGTTTATACTTTTTGGCTAAGGTTTCAACTTTTTTGAATTGAGTTATAACTTTTTGGGATGAGTTCTAACTATTGGGGGAGGGGTTCCAACATTTATGGTGAGATTTCAACTATTTTGGATTGGATTATAACTTTTGGAGTTAGATTTAACTTTTTATGATTGGATTATATTTGTTTGGAAGTTTCAACTTTTATGCATTAGTTTATAATTTTTGGGCTAATGTTTCAANATTTCAACTTTTTTGAACTGAGTTATAATTTTTTTGCGTTAGTTTATACTTTTTGGGTCATGTTTCAATTTTAATGAATTGAGGTATAACTTTTTGAGTGGATTCTAACATACGTGGGACCGTGGGAGTTACAACTTTTAAGAGTGAATTTAACACATTTTTTACGTATGTTACCAACTTTTTGGTAGGAGGTTATTTGTCAAATTCTACTCTTTTTGGTAGGAGGTTATTTGTCAAATCCTACTCTTTTTGCATTACTGTTTTTTGGTAACTGGTATCCCACTTTTAAAGTGATCAACGGCTAAAAAAGCAAAAATATTATATCAATGGCCCAAATTGATTTTCGGTACCGTACCGAGAAGGAAAATTCAGTATTTTAGAAGTTTCCCCTTATTGTATTCACACATGCTACTTGTCACGTGCCTTTGTACAACTATTCCATCTTGATCTGGAGTACTCTGAACCCCCTTCAACCATCGCTCATAACCACAATTTTGCTTGGTAAGAAACCTGAAGAATGGGATGGGAAAGATAAAAAACTTAGGAACTGTTTAGGTTATATCTCAAAAATTAATATTTGAAAATAGTTTTTGAGAAGAATTTTAAGAAATATTTTGAAAAATTTTAGATTGTAAAATCTGTTTGATTAAATATTTTTAAAAATAATTTTAAGGAATAAAAAATTATAAAATCTGTCTGGACAATAATTTACAAAACCCCTAATTCTCATCTCTCTCTTTCTTTACTCTCTTTCTCCACAAAACACACACACACATAGAGACGCACACACAGACACAAACACGCGCACACACACATAGACACACAAAGATTTGTATATATACACAGATTTGAAGCTTCAGTAGTTGAGAGAGAGAGAGAGAGCGAGAGCTATGGAGAAGAAAAATGAACAATCTCCATTTTTTGCTTCCAATGAAACTCGAAGGGAAGACCTCATTAATTTGGAGATAGATTGTTCCCGTGTTTTCATTTTACCTTAAAAAATAGTGAGAACACTATTTTGTTGTTTTAAAAAATCACACTTCAATTCCTAAAATTTTCAAAAAATTGGAGAAAAAAAAACGTAACTAAACAATATCTCCATATTTTTAAAATTTTGAAAACAAAAAACTATTTTCAAANCCTAAAATTTTCAAAAAATTGGAGAAAAAAAAACCTAACTAAACAATATCTCCATATTTTTAAAATTTTGAAAACAAAAAACTATTTTCAAAAACCAAACCAAACAGACCCTTAACTTCTTTTACTTCACTTGACTTCAATTTATTCCCTTTTGCCCTTCCATTAACGTGTATGTAATGGTGATTTAGTCAAGTAAATCACTTGCCTTCCATAAGAACATTGACCAATAATAGTTTGCTGTAAATGCTTACTGGATTCTTTAGTCAGTCCATTAGATGGGCTTTATTTTAACATTATAATAGACCAGTCTTGGTGTGTTTTGGGTAGTTGATTAGTGGCTGCATATATGGTTTATTTTGTGTTCAAAAGTAATTTCTTAAGGTAGAAAACCAAGACTGCACTTCGACAACAATATAATGAATGAAGAATAAGACACAGCCCTAGGGCATTAAGGTAATTTAGTCATTTATGTTAACATTGTTAGAACATATTCAACCGTGCTCATTTTTCTATTTTTGAGAGTTGACCACAAAAAAAAAAAATTATCTCTAATTGGCTCTCAGTTCAAACTAACTGAAATAGAAAATATAATTTGACTCTCTACGTTTAGAGAGTTAAACTCACTACCTACTCTACAAATAATAAATGAAAAAATAACACATATACGTGTTTCATTATATACTTTGACTATAGTGGCTATTTTTATATTAGAATAGAGAATTCTATGAATTGCTAAAATTATTTCAACCTCTATTTTAGTTTTTTTTTATCAAAGATGCTCTCTATTTTAAAAAAAAAAATGTTATCCAAAACAGAGAGTATTATTGTAGATACTCTTACTTATGCAGATTAGTCCAAAATTATGTGGGAATTATGTGATTAATTTTAAACACTATGGGATAAAGTGCTACGGACCCAATCTTAAAGGACCCAAAGTGTAATTAGTCAGGGAAAAAAAAAAAGACATTACTATGCGCGCGGACTGCCCAGCAGTAATCCCCGTAAACCGTCTTTAAACTTACGCGGCACTTTTGGGCGCTAAAACTTCCCGCCAAAAATACACGCCATTGCAGAGATTATATATTCATCTAATCACACAAGTCCCATCCATAGCTCTGCATTCGGAAGAGGAATTCATACAATCACACTAACCGAAATAGAGAGAGAGAGAGAGATAATAGTTCACTTCTTCGACGATTCAGCCATGGTTGTGGCTCTGGGTCCTGGAAAGTTCTACGGCAGCAGCCTCCCAAGGCCTAGAATATACACAGACGTGAAGTTCAACGACGACCGAGTCGACCCACCAGTATCTGTCCTCGACCCACTGATTTCTTGGGCCCATGAAGCTCACTGGTCAATGGGTGGCCTTAGCTTCAAGCGCCTCCGTCTCCAAGGCCGAATCGAAGGCAGCATCAAGAAACTCCGTGCCGAGCGCGAAAAATTCCTCAAGAAAAGGAAACACAGCGAAACCACTGATCGGCAGATCGGCAAAAGTAGTGCTAAAGATTCGGAGTCGAATAAGAGTAGTAGCCCATCTCCGCCTCCTGCTCCGATTGCGGTGAAACGGAGGCGATTCATGGCCTTGCTTGATGAAGAAGATGATAATGAAGGAAAAGAAATGATGAAGAGTGGTGACAATGGCGGTGGTCTCGGGGTT